CCTGGTTGCCTGCCTGTTCATGGATGTCATGTGATTGGCTCTTTTCTTAGTCAAGGTAGGCTTGGATGAATACAGCAGTTGACATCTGCATTTGATGAACAGCCAAGAGAGAGATGATAAAGGGAAGAGCTTTGACTTAAATACTGTGTCTCCTTCCTAGTCACCTCTACATTGCTTTTGCTCACTTCCTGTCTTGTCATTACAGAGGTGCTCACTGAAAGTTCTCTGCAAGTTCTTGGGAAGGCACCAATTAACTCAACAAGAGAAGGGAAAATAATGCAGATCTGTCACGACTCTATCCCCACGGATGAGCCGAGGCCTGGCTGTCAGGATCGTGAAATGACTTTCAGCATTCATTGTTGGGGAAAACAATTTTTTTTTTGGACAAGATTGAGGCCAGTTGGCCTTGGTCTCAGAGTGAAAATCCTTTAGATGAGTTGAGTTGCAGGGCTGGCAGTTTGGGAGAGAAGCATGTGGGATGGGACGTGAGAAGGGGAGTGGATCTGATCATGTTTTCTTTTCAGTCTCTTTGTGGGTGTCATCGTTCATCGCCTTCATTATTTTGGATTAGGCCTAATAACCTGTGTTTCATGGTCACTGCACATCTTGAGAACTTTCATATACTTTCTACTTTTGAGTTTACCATAGGGGGATGCCTCAAGGAAAAGGAGACCTCTATTAATTGCTAGCCCTTTCCCATAGGGCTAGTAAATAAAGGGCAGAAGACACTGTAAATACTTTTCTTCATGCAACTATATTAGTGTTGATAATAGGACTATAAACAAATTCACATGAAGTTGCCACCTGTTGACAAATCTGAGAGGTTTTTGGGGAATCAGCAGATGGGGATGGAGAACGCCTTGTTACAGGGATGTAAAGCGTGCCAGCTGAGAGTCTGAGGATGAGGAAATATCCTTTACCCCATCCTTTCTCTGCTGCTTTTTGTCTCTTCCTCCTAGAACATGAATGGGTCTTGTGGCTAAGTCAACTGAAATAGAGATGCAGGAGCAAGGGAGCTTAGATGGTAACTAGTTCCACTGAGGATGAAGTGGGAGGAGCAAAGTGATTCCATTCCTGTGCCTATTTTTGGGACTAAGCACAACAGATGGGACTAAGCACAACCCATCTCTCTCCTTCCTGATGGAGTCAGAGCTTTCTGCAGTCCTGAGCTTCCCAGCAGCTCTCAGAGAAAGGGCTGGGAGTTTCCATTCATTCCTTATTCCCCCCTCCCCAGCACAGTCTCTCTGCCGCAGCATGGGGTAAGGGCTCTCACCCTTTTCCACTGAGCACTGGTCCAGTTGCCTTCCAAAGATTCAGCCACTCAGGTCCCACAGCGGAGGAGTGCAGTGCCAAAACGTAAGTGGAGAGACAGAATCTATATCCCTGGTGCACAGCTGGTTCATGCAATTTATTGGGGTTTACAAGCCCTTTACAAACATTTAAAACAGCCTGGGGATTTGGCTAGGTATGTAGAATACAGATCTTGCCGTGTCTGAGAGTAACAAGAGGGCTCCCTGCTTGCATACAAGAAAATTGACTTTGGAAAATCGGATTAAAATAACATTTGACTAAAATAAAACAACCAACCAAACCCCTTGCACTACGAAAGAAACTGATGCTGAAGGAGAGGAGATAATTCTGTCCTGCTCGTTATGAATATCCATAGCAGCATCATTAATAATGAAGCAGAAAAGCTTCTGTCCTCTCGGAGTCTACGTCTAGACGGACTGGTTTTTCTGGATATTGGAGGTGTCCCAAAAAAGCAACGCCACGTTCAAGGAAGGCATCCACTTTTTCAAAAAAGATTAGAAAAAGCGGACATGCTCTTTTGCTATCCCTGTAAACCTTATTCTACAAGGAATAAAGGATGTGTCGAAAGAGCACTTTCTTTTGAAATCTGGTGCCATGTAGATGCACCAAATTTTGAAAGAGCCTCTTTTGCAAGTAAATCAGAAAAAGATAATACAATTTGCGTACTGCAAATTGCACATCATTTTCTGTTGTTAACATTGCAGTGTAGACCTAGCCTGAGCATAGTATACATTGCAACACTATTTCAAAATAGCTAGTGCTATTCTGAAATAACAGTCGGAGTCTACACAGCTGGCAATTATTTCGACTTAGTGTCCAAATGCTGTCACGCTGGAGGACTTCTTCCTCCAACTTCTGTCACCCTCATTGTATGAGGAGTAAGGGAAGTTGGAGGAAAAGTGCTCTATTTCAAAATAAGCTATGCATTGACATAGCTCAAATTGTGTAGCTTATTTTGAGTTAAGCCCTGCAGTGTAGACACACCCTCATGAATTTAATTAGATGCACCATACAGGGCTCAAGGAAAGTAAAATAAATAAATTAAAAATCCCAAACTTTAAAATAATCAAATATTAAACTGAGGAGGGAATCCATGTGAAGTTGGAAGTTGAAATACTGCTCTGCAGTGTTTGCTGACAGTTCCAAGTACTACAGCACAGGGATAATGGATGAGAGATGGGAACCTGAAACTGACTAGAAACACCAATCAACCCAGCCCCTTTCATTCTGGCACTCAGTGAAAAGCAAGGGGGTAAAGTGCAGGGAAATAGCCTTTCCATGGTAATGCAGGATCGCTGTCATACAGGGGGTGAACTCCTGGCCCGCAAAACTCCCCCTGACCTCAGCTGGGCCAGGTTTTCACCACGATTTGCCACCTGCCGGTATCCATCCAGCTCACCTTGCGCTATTGCAGTGTAAATCGGTGCATGCTGTGTAGAGGCTGAAATGATGGGACTCGAGGCCGGTCCTGTTGTTCCGCGTTGCCATGTGGTGCCGATGAACAGCGTGTGAAAGGGACGAGATGAAGCCTTCAGGGGCCCCGGGAAGGTGGCTCTGGTGTGTTTCGACCTCGACATCCAGTCCTAGCGCAGCACTTTGGAACCCGCTTCCCCAGTCCGGGTTCCTGAGTCGAGGACACCTGCCTTTCCTTGGGCAGCAGGATGGGCAGTGGCGACTGCAGCCCAGAGCTCCGGGCTCCGAGGCGGGGTGCCCAAGGAAAAGCGGTGTTTGCCAGAAGTGGTTGGGGGGCTGGAACGCACAGAAGCGGGTGAGCAGCCCTGGATGCTGGGGTACAGCCCGGCCGGCCTGCGCTCCCAGTGCGAACAGCCTGCGCGTAGCAATTAGAAGGGGAAGGCAGAGCAGGGGGCTCCCAGTCTGGGGCCCAGCGCTCGGGGTCCAGCGCACCCCGCGGCTGGAGACCTGCGGAGGGGTAGGAGCCAGAGAAACATTGCCGCGCGCTCCGTGTGGGAAACTGGGTATTTGCGGTACCAGGGGCATCGATAAGTGCCAGGCAGCACAGCTCGGCAGCCTGACTGTCAAAGGGAACCTCCCTTTGGATCCAGGAAGGGTGGGACCCCGCTCCCCAAGGGACGTGGGCCGCGGTTTTCTCTCCCACACCAGGGAGAGCAAGATCAAACCGCAGGGGACACCTCACAGTTTGGAGATCAGGGCAGAAAACCCTGCAAAACCTGGGCCAGATACCTGCACTGGCCAGAGGGGAGAGAGGCTAGACATAGGTAACCTCGGTCTGGGTGAGGATATAGCAATCCCAGTGGGTCGACTTCTTTTTTTTTTCAGAAAAAAAATCAATGTTTTTCTCTGGAGGCATTTTCCTTGGAATAGTGGAAGTTTCCCTCCCACACTTTTCTGAGCCGCTTGAACTCGCTAGATCCATAGACTAGCTCTGTTATATGTCTACACCGCGGGCTAATTGCGTTCTGCGCCGTATACGCAAGAAGCCCGTTATTTCGAAATACACTCTTAGGGAGACGCTGGACTAGCGCTTCATTTGGAAATGCAGGGCTGTGTCGATAGCGTCTAATCTAAAAATAAACTATTTTAAAATAAGATATACGACTCGCGCGGCTCATTTCGAAGTAGCGCTGCACCTTTGGCTGAAATAAGATATCCCGAAATAGCCTTGCAGTGTAGAGGTACCCCATGCATACTTTAATCTGTCCTTGTAGCCAAACAGGGAATGTGCTGGAGTGTGAAAAAAAATCAACATTGAGCACGTTTATAAACACGCTGGGACTGGTTTTAATGAGCTGACTTTCATATATGTAAATTAAGTGCAATTGCCATTAGTTCTGCTCGCAACAGAGTGACCTGAGCATGAATGTGTACAGTCGATTGAGCTGAACACTTTTGGCTTTTGTGCCTTAAGTTTACCAGGGGAATAACGCGATGCCTGACCCCTCCACGCCAAGAACGTGAATGAGCGATGGAGCCTACATCTCTCCATAGTGAGCGGTTGACTGAATTATAATTTTCAACAAACTTGAAACAAAAACTCAAAACCGAACGTAGTTGGTTTGACTTGACGCTGCTTGCAAGCTTGAAATACAGTATAGTGGGTCGGAACCGTTTATGATACATCTCATCTAGAGAAGCTATGTGGGGGAGGGGGTGGTGAAAATGAAGCATCTCATCTAGAGAAGCTATGTGGGGGGGGATGAAAATGAAGCTCTAGGACAAGTAAAATCCCACAAACAAGGATTTGGTGCCAAACTTTTAACCCGGGACAAGAGTATTTTTGGATGCAAAAGTTAGCTCCTGTAACGTTGTTTCTGGAGAAAAAAAGAATCTCCGATAAACAAACAATATTGTTCAACCAGTGCATACAGCCATTCGATTAAGAACTGGATTTATAAAAGCTGCGATGTCATTGAACTGATATGGTAAAGTGTGTCGAAAAATTAGAAATGGGAGGATCTCCAGTGGATGGAACTGCCAACCAGGAGAACCGGACGTTAGTTGTGGACTTTTCCCCATTCCAAAAAGAATGAAATGTTAATATTAACTTTAAGGACAGATTGCCCTTTCCCATTAAGTAACTAACTGGACCCTTAAATGTTATTTTCTAAGAGGCCAATGGTGTTTAGCTTAAATATCTGCATACTCTGTTGCACTTCAAACAAAGAAAAAAATCCAAACAAATGTTTCCATTACTAGAAAATTTAATCATTCTTAATAAAAGGCAACTCCTCGAAATGGTAATGTTGGATGTTGAATTTCGAATAAAACTTTTTTTTATTATATGTTGAGATATATCATAAATATAGGCAGAAAAGATTAAAAGCATTGCTAGAGTTTGTTTTTATTCCCATGCTTTTAATTTTGGAAAAAAATCACAAAACATAACTTATAAAACAATAGATACTGCATCCTTATCCACAACAGCATTATTGAAACATCCAGCGTAACGTTTACCACAGGTGTGAAATACACTGGGAAAAGGAATACCTTGTGCATTTTATATTATGTTTCTTTGTCATCTACAGGTAATAAGTATCGACAAAAATAAGCAACAAATATGCCTGCAATTAAACTTCATATGCGTTTTGTATGCGTATTAATATTTAAAAGATCATATTTTATCGTCCATTTTTTGCCAACAAGCATCTACATTTACATCATAACACCTTAAGATTATTTTTGGTTCCTTGTTTTTCCTTCCCTTCTAGAAAAATAAGGAACTTTTCAAAATTGCTAAGCAACGTTTCATTATTTCAAGACTCGCTGTTTCTTGCAGTATCTGGGTTCACTTAATGACAGTCCGTTTTCTGACTTTTTTTCTTCTAGACTCTCTAGAAATGTTTTAAAAAGAAAAACACATTTTAAATAAAGATGACTGATAATTTCATTATCAGGATAAGATTTTGGGTGGAGAAAACGCTGGCCAGGTTAGCATTGGTGGCGTGATATATTGTGGGGCTCTTCTCAGATACTGCAGTCCTTTTGGAAAGGCTAGAGAGGTAGGAACTGGTAGCTTCCTGCTAGGAATGACTGGATCATAGCTTCCAACTAAAGACAACATCAAGAATCATGCATTTGAAAACCATTTTATTCAACGATCTGGCACAATGTAACGGCAGATATAAATAGAACCTTCGTTAAGTGGTTGACCCTTGTCTGTACGTTTTTTTTAATAGTTTCATACCTACTATTTTAACCATATTCCCGCAGAATCCACTCTGCACGTGATACTTTTTTTTTTGTCAGTGGTAAACATTATCCAAACCTCTTCCCCTACCGCAAACTGGGCAGCCCAGTCTGCAGCCTTTACTACCACCACCACTCCACCGTCCCATATCATACACCCCTTTCCCCCCTTTCCACTCTTATGCTCTATAAAGTGGACGCTTTAGAAACTCCTGTGCAAGTTCAAGTAAACACATACAACCCGCATCATCCAGAGGAAAATTGCAACTCATCCGTGGATTCGATTTTGGCGTCTCCTGCAACAGCTTTTCTGGTCCGTGGTTTTTTTGGTTTGGGTTTTTGCAAAGCCTCCCTCCCGGCTGGAGCCCGGGCGAGTCCGTCAGCTGTTGTACTGACAGGCGTTTAGACTGGAGCCCGGGCTCTGCAAACTGCTGTAGCCGAAACTGGAGTGCTGCTTGGATTTCAGTCTGAGGCTGGCCAAGCTGGAGTTGCAAGTGTCCCTGTACACGCTGTAGGGCGAGGCGGGCGGGCCGTAGGGACAGGCGGGGGAGGACATGGCGGAGTTGAGCGAGGAGCCGCTGATGTTGTTGAGGTTGGCGTTGGGCATGCCGGGCACGGCGGAGTGGCCCATGGTGGAGGGCATGCTCATGGAGGAAATGGTGCTGGGGGCGGAGAACATGGACTGCGAGGACAGGGGGCTCATGGAGTTGAAGAAGGTGAAGCTTTTGGTGGAGAGCGGCGCCGGGGCCAGGCTCTTGGTGGCCCAGTTGTTGTAGGGGTAGCCCGCGTACATCTCGTCGTAGGGCTGCATGAGGCCGCTGAACTGGGGCACGTAGCCGTTCTTGCACAGGTCCATCTGCTGGTTGCGCTCCCGCTTCCTCCACTTGGCCCTGCGGTTTTTGAACCACACCTGGGGAGGGAAGGCAGAGCGCAGGGTAAGCACCAGGCTGCTGCCCGGGAAGGGGGAGGGGAAGGCGCCCAGCACAGCCCGGCCCCAGGGAACGCAGCCCAGGGAGGGTCTGCAGAGGAAAAGCCCAAAGTGTGCAGGTCCTGGTTCTGCGCGGGCGCGCAGGAGCAGCGCGTAGCTCCGGCGTGTGCCACCAGCCCTGCGCTCCTCTCCCCGAAATCCCACGTGTTCCCTGGCTGGCCTGGCCCGGCTGAGTCCCAGCCTCCCGCCGATGCTCTGGCTGCGCGCAGCGCGCCGCTCTCTGCTTTTAATTTCCCCCTGCGCTTGTTGGCAGAGCGCATTAATTGGCCCTGCCGCAGCGCCTCGCCCAGGCCCGGCGCTGATTAGGGCAGGCCAGCCCCGGCTCGGCTGCGTTTCCGAGTGCTGAAGCCGGACAATAAAAGGCCTCTGTTACAGCTCGTAAAGCGGGGATTGGATTAGTGTGGGGAGGGTGAAAAAAAAAAGCATCTCCAGGTGGCTGGCGCAGCCGGGGCCTTTCTATCTAATGAGACTGTACAGCCCGGAGTCGGGCTCTGATGCTGAAACAGTTTGGCTCTAGGGCGGTGCGGGAGATCCCTGGCACCCAAAGCTTTTTCCCCAAAGCAGGAAAAGCCGGAAGGGGAGGCGTGCGGATTGGGCTGGCCAAGCTGGGGAGAAAAAAATTCTCTGCCTGCCTGGCTGGTGACACCCGCCTGTGGATTCTCCTCTCCTATCTGCCCCCTGGCTTTGGTCAACGTGGCTTTGTCCCGTTAAAGCCTCTTACGTTTTTCCCTTGGCCCATCAGAAGCCATTCCCCACTGCAGCCCATGCAAAAGGATGGCCGAGAGCTGTCTTGAGCACTGCCATGAAATTCCTACTGCTCTCCACCCGCGGATTTAAATCCCCTCTAAACTGCGCGACTCCGAGGTTCTGCTCTTTCCGCCTGGTCTCCCGGCTTTTGAATGGCAGGGCTGGATGTTTAAACAGCGACAAGGATGGGCATTTCGGGGGGGAAAGATCGCGGGGTCGATGCGAAAAAAAAATGCCGTAAAAATATGAAGAGGAAGCGAACGTCAGAATGTTCAAACCCTGTAATTCACTCCTCGGAAGGTGCTTCCAGACAGGAATTTCCTGAAAATGAGGGGTAATGTTTTAATTATGGCTTCTAGACATTTTAAAGGAAGGCCCTCCCGGCAAATTAAAGTCGGTTTTGCAAAACTGCAATCTCAGAACATCAAACCGAGCCATTGCGGTCCGGAGGGGAGAAAGATCCAGTTAATGGCAACTCATATTAATTTGATTTGCTTCCTGAAATATTCCAGCAACATAAACGCACATTTTAGCCCTGACCCTATAGTTTTTTTAATGAAGAAAACTGCTACCAATACAACGATTTCAAATACAGCAAGTATGTAGCCAGGACAAGCTGTAAGAGGTAATCAAAGATCGTCTAATTTGCTCGGTTAGTCGGTTACTCCTCTAGACAGTCACTAGGCTCTGAGGGACAGGACTGAAGTGAATTTAATCAAATCTACCTCCATTTTCTCCGCTTATTTATTATTGGCAGCGCTGGTGATCCAGAGAACGGTTTAATCCCTCCCGTCCCAAACTTAATATTTGCTTTGTAACGACGTTCAAAATCCGTCCCTTGGGCTTGCTTCCTTACTAACTTTCTTTCTGACCTACGAATTGGGGCCCGATCCTGGTAGGGGCCTGGAAGGGTATTTCAGCGCTGGAAAATCCAGACAGCCTTTAAGGACTTTCCAAGGTGCAGGGTTTTGTATGCCTATGATTGTAGGGTTTATTCTTCCCCGCTGCGGATTTGGAATCGGCGAGGGACTTTGTAGACACAACACACAGCAGAGACACACACGCCGCGTTGGGATCAGCAAAGCCATTCTGGAAACAAACCAGGGAAACATCCCCCACCCGGGATGAAAAACAAATTGGAGGTGGGAGGGAAAATACCCCCAACTAAAAGGAGCGATACACAAAGCCACCCAGAACCAATCCACCATCAGACTCAATCAAATCCGAATGCCGGTACGAGCCGTTTTGATTTGACATTTTATTATAACAATCGAATATACGAAAAATAACCAATAAATGACCTAACTCGATATTCTGCGGCGGTGTTGGCTAGATCCTTATAGAGCTTCCGACAGCTCCGTGCCCCGAGTACGTGTGTCTATACTGGTTATTGACTTTGGAGTCTAATCTACCCAGACCCTTGTCCTTTCGTTTGTCTATTGGCAGTTCGTACAGTTGACTAGTACAAATAGCTTATCTGCCTCATCATAGAAGTTTAATTGTGTAGAGGAACATTTGCTATAGATACACCCGGCAGGGTGTGCTTGTTGTGTGTACAGTGCACCGCAGAGGGCCATTAACCACTCCAGAATTATAGACAATTGTCACTTCTCAGTACAGAGATTTCCTACATTATACAGAGACATCTGCTTCCGTGGTGCAAAGCAGCTTCTTTTCCGCCGCTTTCCCCTCGCGCTGTCATATTTAAATCACATCTTACTACACAGACTTGATCCGCTGGCACTTCACTGTCTAGGAGAGTGGAAACTTGCCTGTGATTCTATGCAGGTCTGATCCTCCGTTTTAATGGAACCTACCCTCCGAAAACTCAGTCTAAGGTAGGCCCGGTGAGACTCCGCGGGACTGGAACACCCCCAGGTAAACCTGTACCTGGGACACGGGAGTTTCTTATTCGCGAAGGGGAATGGAAATCCCTTGGCCTCTGCAGCGAATCTCCATATTTCTAACCACGGATTACTCACATTACAATAAAAACACCGACCCCTTGCAAAGCTCCCTGGGAGGATGTCGTTGTCCTCACTCTCCCAGACAGGTGAAGAGAACTGCAAATATCTTCCCTGTTCAGGGTTCCAGGACTGTCTTTAATGAATCCAGGAGGGAACAGTACATCCAGCAAGATCTCTCTTGTGGCTGCCCGCTACCAGCCACAGGGGCGATTTAAAAACGGGCTTTTCCGGAGCCTTCTCTCTGGCTATTGTGTGGTGTTTACACTATGTAAATCTTAAATCGGGGTTGATTTAAAAAAAACTTACTTGGGGCTCCTCAAACTCCCTCCCTAGGCAGTTACATAGAAAGAGCTGCCTGCATTTAACTCTTGATTCCCGGGCGCATCCTTCACCTTCTATTTCCTTCCCCCTGCCTCTGTCTAGCTGTCTGTGCCTGCCTTATTTTCCCAGCTGGGCTTTAGAGGCAGCTCTTCTGTGCCCAGCTGTTGCTTCTGATTTCCCTCTGCTCTCCTGAGATCTCGGCTCTTTAGAATGAGGGGCAAGAGGGAAACTTTGGGACAGGGCTTACAAGAGATGGCAAGTTGCCTGAGCTTCTGACAACTCCGGCCTGCCTGGCGTGGCTTTGCTTTCGAGTTACTGCCTGAGAGACATCAGGTCATCTCCGCAAGGTATTTCCTTCTCTCCCATCCTCCGGGATCCAGCTCCGATGAAAAGCGAGGAAGCGAAATGCAGGCGCGGGAGTTACCGTAGTAGGGATTCTCTATTTATTGTGTATGCCCCATAGTTATGCCATAGATTTCAATCTTACACTTATGCCCGGGTATTATCTAAGGAGCACTGTACATCCTGGGTAAGTGCTGGCCAGGAAGATGGAATTGACGGGACACGTGTTGTCCCGGAATCCCAGGACTGAAAGGGTGACAGAATCACAGGCCATCCGATCGCCCCCCACACCCCTCAAATATTATGCTGCAGTCGGTTTTAAAAGACAAATGGAACAGCTGTTCAACCAATTTGTCCTTCCCTTTAATTTCCCCACTCCCAGGCGCCTGGTCATCTATACACGTTTGTATTTTCTCTTGAGAGGCAACCTACTAAAAAAAAAAAAAAGTTTTTCCATTGTAGAAAAGACCGCGGGCCGAAGCCGCTGCTGGCTGGGAGTCCCAGCGCCCGGGCCCTACAAGGACCAAGCTGATTGCCAGGAGAAATGAATTGCTGCTAGCACGGCTGAGCCCCCCCTGGCCTGGCCTTACCCTGACTCTGGGCTCGGTGAGGTTGGTCCACACAGCGATCTCCTCTCTCATGCTCATGTCCGGGTAGCGGTTCCTCTGGAAAGTGGCCTCCAGCTCCTGCAGCTGCTGGCTGGTGAAGTGAGTCCTTTGCCGCCGCTGTTTCTTCTTCTTCGCCGGATCGTCCGCGTTCCCATCCTCACTCTTTTGCTCGCCGCTCCGCTCTTTTTCTGCGAAAAAAACCAACCAGGCACCGAGACCCGAGCAGTGAGACACGCGGAGCTGGCCGCCTGGCCCTTAGATCCCCTCCCCCCCCAGCCATTTGGCGAGCGGACGAAACAGAACCCCCTTTTACAAATCTCTTGTATGTGCCTCTATCGTGCGAGGCTAGAGCGCCTGTTTCCGACCACAGGCCCAGCGTGTGTAAACCAGCCCCGCGGGATTAGTCTCTTGAACCCCGGAGTAGGAAAAAAAAAAGTTTCCCCTGAAATGTAATTTCCAGCCAACAATAGAGTGTTCGATATTCCTCTCTCCTAGGCCTGCTCTTTTATCCAGAGGACTCTGCAATTTACACAGGCTCGGCTTTTAGATGGAATCAAATAGAACAAAACAAAGAAGGAAACAAATCTATTTACAAATCTTTTCCCTCTCTGTGATTTCTCTCTCTCTATCTGCAGAGAAACCTTCTTCTCCAGTATATTGCGGCTGTGTATGGTCATTTCCCCACCGTATTAATCTTAGAAAACCTCAGGAGTGTAAAATAAAACATGAATTAATTGAAAAGCGACCCTCTCGGGGATAATAGAGTTTATTTAAGAAAAGAATGAGCCACTGAAAAGCTTTATCCAAAAATCAAACAAAAGGTAAGAAGCGGGGGGAGTTCAGTCAATTCTGTTCATCTAAATTTGGGGAAGGAATTCAAAACAATTGGTTGATACAACTAGGGGAAAACAGAAAATATTCCCAAAATCAAGGGGGGAAACGCTGGTCTTTTTATATTTTTGAATATATTGTTGGATTTGCACAAATGGAATGAGAAATTCGATACATTATTTGAACTAACACCAGGGATTATACTAACAATTTATTAATGTATAGCGATACAAGCTTTCCCTGTATACATCTATCAAATATTTTTGTAGACGTATATACATACATGTATTGTATTATTTTTTATTTATTCTTTTCTCAAGAGCAATACAAAACTTTAAACATCTGGGTGTAACTATGCCACACATACGTTGTTTCTCTCTGTCTCTGGTTTTTGGTGTATTTATTGTAACATATACGCAATAGTGTGTACTAAGTCACACTAATATATACGTGTAATAATATATTACACATACTTAAATCAAAATCATATAGAAATAAACATACGCACGTGCTGCATATGCAAACCCGTCCCTTTGCGTTCATATACATGAGTTCGATTTGATTTGGTGAATGTCTGAGAGGATTTCACAGAGGACGGGTAGCAAAATAATGGGACAGCTCTGCAGTGGTGTACATCACAAAGCTGGGGGGAATGTAAAGCTGATTCTAGCGCATTGAAACGCAGACTTCCTTTCAGAGCCTGATTAATAGTAATATTTTAAAATGAATAAAAATCCTTGCAAAATACTTGATTCCTCATACTTTAAAAGACTCCTGGGTTTCCCTGGGAACTCTTGGGAGTAAAAATGTGGGAGCTCAAGCAATTAAATGGAAACCGAGCAGAGGTAAAGGGGCTTTATTGCAATCCGGATGGGCACTATTTCCAGTAAGTGGTTTGCAGAGCAAACAAGGCCGCGAACAGATACCCCATTTAAATATCCTTTTCCCTTCCTCTCTACCTTGGCAGCTACTTGTGTCCCCCCAAACTCGCCGCGAGTGTGAATGTGTGTGTTTGCCAACCGAGGCTACATGACCTAACTGTATAAAGGCTGCATGTGAAAACGATTCCATTTTTTGAACACACAAATCTTTCTGGCGGGCAGGGTTATAAAGGCTGCATGTGAAAACGATTCCATTTTTTGAATACGCAAATCTTTCTGGCGGACAGGGGTTTTTTTTTTTCAGCCCTCGGTGCTCGGGGGCTGCTTCTGATGCAGACAAGAGAGAAAACAAGTAAGAAAAATTGTTGCCGTCAAAGAGACCGTCTACCACAATGATTGCAATCTTTGCATTTGATTTATTCCAGCCACGTTTTCATGAAAAATGCTGTCTGGGAATAAGCCTTTGATACCATTTCAAATCATAACCCACATTAGCCTAAATTCGCATTAGCATGATTTTCCATTAAACAGTGAAAGGTATTTGGTTTTTTTTTAACTCAATGGACCCTGGTATTTAGTCTCCTTAGAATCGATGGATCAGATTGTAGGGGCACAGCAAAACAGAGCGATTATCTCCCTACACTATTTCAAATGGCCCTCACAATTCTAAACACCCCTTGCTCTCCAGTTTACACTCAAAGCCTTGTTTTCAAATCGTATTTGGAGGCAGAAACAAACGCGTTTTCTATCATGTGCATCTTTCGGGTTTGTTTTAGTTGCAGGCAAACAACTTGCAAAGAGTACGGCCTATTTAAATTGAAAAATAATAATCATTTTTAAAGCTACCCCTCTGTGCAGGGAAATTTTGAAGAAGGAACCACGCTCGGTTTTCCGTAGTCCATATTTTCCAGGGCTTTTTGCTTCCTTGACATGATGTTTCTTGTCATCTTAGAGAAACGGCTCCTGTTTTAATTAAATACCAACTAGGAAATCACAGCTTTCCCCGCAATAATTGCACATGTTCAACAGGCGGATGAAAAAGCGGAGACCGAACGACTCCTGTGTAGCTCCAACTCCGATCTTGTAAAAAGTGAGAGTGTATTCCCCGTGTATACATAAAATTAAAAATTAGACTTTGTAACGCGTAGCCCGTGTAATATAAATCTGAACAGCCTGCTAACTTGAAGGAACTCGCTCCATTCCCCCTCTTAATGTTTTGCAGTCTACCCCCCTTCCTTGGCCGGAGAGATCCTTTTACACCAGAGCTGGAAAATAAACCCCGGCAGAGCTGACATTATTTCAGAAACATTCTGCAAAACCGCACGCTCCGTGGAACCCCCCCCCCATCCATTAAAAAGCAAATTAATATCCATTAAAAAGCTGCTGCTAGGCTTAAAGCTGGTAGCAATATTCTTCCCTTCCCTAGACTGTCAGAGCAGAGAGGTATGGGGGAGGGTCGGTTCCGTTTCTGCTAACCCTCCCATCCACTTTCCCGGGTTGACTCTAATTAATTCTACTGATTATCTCCCTGCCCCCCACACCACCTGGCATTTCAATCTTTCTTGGCAGGAGAGTCGTGGGCAATGGGCATTCATAGGAAGGGAAAGAAAGGAAAGAGAGCGAAAAAGAGGAAGTGTAAAGGTTTTACCTGGGACTTCTGTATCTGACGATTCACTGGCTGAATTCTCAATCGGGTCTCTGGATTCAGAAGATCTTTGCAAATGGAAGCTGGAAGCCATGTCGTGGGAAGGCTGGGGTCTTAAGCTCTCTGGCAGTCTTTCCAAATTCATTCCACCTTTAAAGGAATCCATGGCCAGGAGGCTGAGTTGGTTTGGGTTTATGCAGGTGCTTATTCCACAGTATATATAAATATATAGGCATGCAAATCCTCTGAGCCCTATTTATGAATGGCTTTACTCTCCCCCTATTTTCAAGAGAGCCCGCAGAAGAGATCCGAGGAGCGATGCCTAGAAGTTGGTTCGTCTTTGCGCTGTGATAGTCGCCCGGGTGCAACCGAGTCCGCACGGAAGTGGTAAAGATCCCTGCTAGAAAAATGCGGGTTGCGCGTTGGATCGTTTAAAGCTAAAGAGATGCGAGCGACCTGCCCCAGAACAAATGCCTGTAGTGTAGTGAAACGGGGCTCCTCCCCCTTAAGGTTAAAACCTCCCCGTCTCGCTAATAGATCACTCCATCTAGCGCTCACCCAGCCTAATCTAGCGGCAAGAACTGCCCGCCAACTCCCCATATATGTGCGCTGCCTCGCGGGTTCCTTGGAATACTAGCCGCGAGTTTCGCAAAGCCTCGGCTCTCTCCTTCGGGGTCCATCTACCCCCCCTTCCCCCCGCCAGCTGGATTCTGGCTTCTCTGCTCTTCTTGCTGCAGGAAGAAACGTCTTTTTGTCCCAACGCTGGCTCTGACCGCGGCAAGCCCTAAACCAATCAGCGGCCCCCTTCCCACCCCAAACTTTCCCGAACCCAGAGGTTTATTCCGCGCAGTACCCGCTCTCCACGCGATCTGTTAAGCCCCAAATGTTTAAAAGCCTATTTCAGAGGCTGCTGGAAATCTGTCCAGTCTCTCGGAAAGCGAATCCGGGCGGCTAGTTTCCACCCAGAGCAGAGGAGGGCCAGACTTGTCTTTTGCACCGGGAAGCTTATTCCTGCCGGGAGACACCCGCTGTGCGCTTTTAAATGTGCTCCTGCATGGGGAGAAATAAACGTGCTTCCCCATTGGGCTGCGATACTAGACCTTTAAACATGCGGGCAAGCAATTTTATTGGGGACGATTCCGAGGCTCGGTTCAGGGGCAGTCGGTGTCGGCGTGTATTTCCGAGGGCTGTCATTATTGGTCAGAAAAGTGAAACTTGGCAAGGTCGCTTCCTTGCCCTGCGCGACGCGCCCTGTGTTCTCACAAGGGTCTGCCAATGGATCGAGCGAGGTTGCCTTGATTTGGGTTCATTAAGCTGCGGAGCCGGGGAACGGCAGATAAAAGTGATGGGGGGAGGGAGGAGCGCTGGTAGATTTTGTCGCTGGCCTTTCCTGCGCGCTTCTAAGTGGAAATAATGAAGGGACAATTTCTCCACTGATTGACACGACTGGACTTGGGGCTCTCCAGGTCGAAGCTGGCGAAGGCCCAAGATGCTGTGAACGGACCAGTGGAGCGAGTGAGGGAGGGGAGGGGAGAGGAGACGCTGCAAATATGAAGCAATTCCCTTTGCTTTTGGGTTTATAGCGTGGGCTCGTATGAGCCTATCACCCATTAAAACTCTGGACACAGTCTGTCTCAGGTTCTCTGGCGCTGCTGCTGGCAGGGTGTGGTGTCACTTTAGTGACTAAATAATTAGTTGTTTACAGATCTAGTAAACAATCCAATCGCCCTTCCACTCACCTCACCCAAATCTTAGTAAAACGACCCTGCTCTCTCTGGGTTGGCACACACCAGGCGCCTTGATATCTCTCCTTTTCCTGCTGTTTCTTACATGGGGAACAACTGCCTACCCTATGCTCAATGGGTGAGCCTGCATCTGGAGGGAGAGTTTAAATCCCTCGCCTACCGATGGCAAACTAAGTTTGCAGGCACAGCTCTAAACTACTTTCCCACCGAGGGTTTTATTTGCGATGGCAAACTAAGTTTGCAGACACAGCTCTAAACTACTTTCCCACCGAAGGTTTTATTTTCAGTGAACGAAGCGTGGATTCGCTGTGGTTTGATCGCTCACTGACGACAATCTAATACATAGACCGTTGCCTCCTGTTGCAGCGAATGGCCTCTTTGACTTTTCTGGAAAACCCCTCTTATTACAGCGTCTTTACAACCCCTTCATGTGGCTATAACAACTCCTCCAACTTCATAAAGTCCACACTCATCTCTTCCTCCTTTGGAGAGAGCATTTAATCTTTTTTTTTTTATTTTTGGACAAACTTTTCTGCAAGGCGGAGAAGTATAAGGCAGTCTTGGAAAACACTTTCTGTTCGCAGGGCCGCCCCTCTTCAAAGTCTACAGACTGGGGATCCATGGGAGTTTTGCCAGAGTAAGGACTGCAGCACAATCCTCCCTGGATCCAAGACTGATTCCCACCCCCCAATCTTTCAGCACTTTATGAATAACAAATAGTTTTCTTTGGCAGTGAACTCTCTGTGACCCATGGAAAGTGGCTGGTTGTTCTAGAGGTGGATTTCAGGCTTGGAGACCAGGAGAAAAAGGAGGGAGGCAACAAGCAACAAGAAAAGGATCGGCTGCAGCAAGGGTCAATGTCAGTTTTGAAAGTTCCAGCCACACTTAAGGGCAAGGCCGCTTTGGACTTGTCCTCGCTGCCTGTTGTGGTGTGTTTAATAGGGCAATGAATGTTCTCTTCCTAATACCTCCCAAGGTCACCTCTGCGGGGGTGGCTGCCACTTCTACACTAGCCTCCTGCTGGAGCCCAGATCATCCCCGAGTGAATTATTTTTGGTATTATTAGGCACTAGCTTCACCTGACAGCTCCCAGGGTAGGTGATTCACCTGGGGACAAGCCTCGGACAAATTCGGGTTTTGTTTCTTTTTTGAAGAAGAACCCTTTGATTAAAAATATCAATGTCAGGGGAACTTTTTTGAAGTGTAAAATCTCCAACAGCTCTTTAGCGTCCCTGTGAAATGTGTTGGGTATGGTATGGAGTTGCCTATCCTAGTGACAAAGTGTTTCTATAGTCTCATTCGCAGCAGGCCCGTTGCCTATGTTTATTATAAGAGCATCTTGTCTTTAATCAGACCCTCTGATCTGTACCTCTCCCTGATTTAAACTGAACACAGTCCTGGAAAAAATAATGGAAATAGGAGTTAATGATTGATATTTTCTCTGTCTGTCTGTTTGTATCTCTCTCTCTCTCTCTCTGTAGCCCAAACATTTGAATTTGGAGTATTTGTGGTTCCTTTATACTGCCATTGTTTTACATCACTTTGCTCCCGCAGACCACTCCCCAGTCTGGAAGCTTTGGGCTGTGATTTGCAGCCAAGTGTCAAAAATGCCAATGGTGATTTCAGACGCCAGGAAAAACCTGTGTTGACTTGGGGTGACGTGGAGGGGAATCGTGAAAAATACCCCAGCACTCCACTTCGTGCTCCCTCCAAAGCACAAGAGAAACTCGTGGCACTGTCTGGCTGGGCCCGATCCTGCATTACTGCTCTCTTAACCCCACGTGTATTTAAAGGGAGTGTGCCCGGAATGCAGGATGAGGCCCAATCTCTAGACCCGCACCTGTTTATCGGCTCAGTGACCCGGTCTGCTAGCGCTAGGCCACACGTGGGCGGACGTGTCTGCCCTGCGGAACATCCTGGCCCCTCCGGTATTTTTCAGATTGCATCAAACTAATGCCAAAGGCCATGCTCACGTTTCCTTTTATATCTCACTTCGCTGGACTCGACTATCTGTACAACTGCTCGAGACGCCTGGAAACGCGCAGGAGTAGGCAGGGGAGAGGTTTTGGCTGCGAGGTGGCAGACCTCCACCTTCCAGGACTCCTGCTTTGCCAGCCCCTGAATCACTGGCAGGCAGGTAGGGAGGCGACTTCAAAAAGCAAACTCATGGAAGCGGGATATTGACTAGGGAAGGGGGAAGGACCCAGAGCAGGTCACAGAGGCCTTTCTTTGCTCTAGAAAAATGACCCTCTCCTCTTTATCTTCTCTGCTCAGTTTCACTGATCCATGGTGACACTCAAATTTGGTCCCAAATCAAGTAAAGATGTGGAAAGGAACTTTTGAAGTGCTCCTTGGAAAGTGGATGAAAACATGTTCCCTTTCTTTAGCTTTTTTTCCCCGCCGTGATTTATTTTGGGCTCGGTGCTCGTTCAGTTGTATTTCTTTTAAAAGAAATGATAGCAGAGATTTGGAGGAGAAGGCACTCGGGCCCAAGGGAGACCTGGCGAGGAAATATCCAACGTTCAAAAAAGGGAACTGAATGGGGAATACCCCCAAACGCTTAACAGGCAAAACTTCTCTAGCAGCAGTTTTGATCCTCAGGGGCTGTTTTTACAGTTAAGCACCAACAGATAACTCGACAGTGATAGTGGGCAACTTCTCTGGACTGGATTCTGAATTCTATCTGTACCCACAAAGCTCTCAAACTGGTGTCATGCCAGCGTCTGTCAAGCTTGAATTAAAATACATTTCAGAATTATGTTCAGGCAGGGCTTAATTTTTAGGTTATTTAAGCGGGGCACGGTTTAAAAATGCCTATGTTTATAAGGACATCTGGTATTTAATCAGAACCTCTGATTTTCACCTCTCCCTGATTTAAAATGAACGCAGTCCTTCTGGAAAGAATAATAGAAATGGGACTTAATGATTGATATTTCTCTCTAGCTCAGACATTTAAAATTTGGAGGGTTTTAAAAAATTCCTTTATAGTTTTCTTGCTGTGAGGCCAAAAACAGGTTTGGACAAAGAGCAAACCCTGAACACAAGGTCTCCGGACGCTTTGAAACAGAAGTGTTTTGTGTCCTCCCCAACCTGTAGGGATGCGAAACTACACGGGAAATGCTCCAAATGTGGAGAACAGTGTTGATAGAAACAGACCCTTTTAACATGGTGCTTAGAGCGGTGTAAAATTGGAGGCTTTTTTGATTGGTTTCTTTGTTTTTTGAGAGGTGTGTGTGTGTGTGTGTGTGTGTGTGTGTGTGTGTTTACATGCCCGTCTTGCAGGGCTTTTTAAATACATTCTGAGTTTTAAAACGTCGTGCGTTTTAGTCAAAACTTTCCCAAACTTTCCTTCTCTAGTCCAAAGCACAGATCCGCCCTCATAGGACACATGCTCTTTACCCGTGG